TATATATAGAGAGAGAGAGAGAGAGAGAGAGAGAGAGAGAGAGATTGTAAATTGGGCGATTGCCTGTTATATAAACTCAAATCTTTTTTAATTATACTGACTTCGTGCGAGACTTCATTTTTTCAGCATTATCACTCTCCGCTTGGAACTCAAGGCTATTGGTAATGTTACTATATTTAAAATTTATTATATCCTCCAATTTTATTTTAAAAATAACAGTCACGTGGAAATAAAAGATAATTGTTATTCTCGTTAATGCCACATTCTCTAAACACTACTTTACAATGGACAAAAGAAACAATCAAGGAACCTGCTCAAATGGAATGGCACAAAACTGGCAACTTCTTCTGCGGGCCAACATTGTTGAAAACAAACACGATAAGTCTTATAGAGAATCGTGAGGTAAAAACACATAATTAAATATTTTCTTTCTGATCTGTTAATTGAATATTTGTGTGTATTTGAAGGTGTTTTATTATATGGCCTCGCTGGACAAACTTCTTCTGACAGAAACAACATTCGTATGGCTTTTCACCTGAATGAATTCTCATATGAATATCTAAATAATTCTTTTGTGCAAAATTCTTCCCGCAAACAGAGCAATTGAACGGTTTCTCGCCTGTATGGATCCTATTGTGATTATGTAAATATGATTTGTGTGAAAAGTGTCTTCCGCAAACAGTGCATCCAAATGGTCTCTCGCCCGTATGATGATTCCTCGTATGAAAAATTAAACTTGTATTTTGGGCGAAGCTCTTCTTGCACAAAGAACATTCGTAAGGCTTCTCGCCTGTATGAATCCTAATGTGCCGAATTAGTGTTTCTTCCTTGGCGAATGCTTTCTCACAGAAAGGGCACTGGAACGGCCTTTCGTCTGTATGAGTACGAATATGCTCAATTAAATTTTTGCGTTCAGCGAAGCCCTTTCCGCATATAGAACATTTGAAAGGTTTTTCTCCAGTATGAGTGCGCATGTGCCTGACTAAATTCTTCCGTTCCGAAAAGGCTTTCTTGCACACTGAACATGCGAATGGTCTGTCACCTGTATGTACTTTGATATGATTAATTAAAATTACTCTGCGCGCGAAGCTCTTCCCGCACATACCGCACTCGAATGGTTTCTCCCCTGTATGACTCCGCATGTGATTAACTAGTGCTTCCCTTTTTTTGTAGCTCTTTTTGCACAATGGGCACTCGTACGGCTTTTCGTCCGTATGAGTTCTCATATGTTGGACAACAGCATCCCGTTCTGCAAAGTTCTTCTTGCACACAGAGCATTCGTAAGGCCTTTCACCTGTATGGGTGCGAATATGCCTCATTAGATTTCCTCTTTTTGAGAAGTTTTTCTCACAAATGGAACATTCGAACGATCTGTCGCCATTAGGGGTTCGCCAGAGTCGAACAAAGTTTGTTACTGCATTCTTTGGCAATAGAGTCTTCGATTGTCTTCGACAGGAGAAGTTACAGAAGTAAACCGACTCCGTCGCAGCGTCTGCAGATGCGGCATTTGGTTGCACCTCTCTCTCGCCTGTGAACAACATTATTTTGTAGAAATAAACGTGCAATTTCGGTACATGGAACTACATTTTTACATTGTGCTCATATGTAAATTGGTTTAATTACTACGTGCCTGCTAGGGACCGTATTTATATGCATCAATAATTAAGAAATATGAACGCATTCATTCAATTACATGATTCGTAAATATGCACTTACGTATGCCCTTTAAAGTATATTAACCCGACGTAACACTGATTTCGTAATTTGTACTTACAACTGTGCTTTTTAAATAACTCTCCTAAAAAATTAAACTATCTTAAATTACAATTTGAAGAGTAGGATTCTTAGTTTCCACTAAGAATGGCTGCCGTAGAAGCATTAAACCCCGGTGAACACAATTCCGAGAACCCCTGAACACCAGTATCATCCACGAAAAGGGAAGTTCCTTTATTTTTTGCATAGTGATTCGCTTATATTTTGTAGGACTCCCCTTTGACTCGTGGGAAGTCAAGTGCATTTACAGTTCATCAGAATTGCCGATTTTCAAGATGGACTAAGAAATCGGAACGATCAGTCAGTTCCGAGCGCTCTGTAGGCGACTACTCTAAACTTAGAAACTCGCTCTTTTGAATGACACTTGATTTGTTTCGAGAAGTTGTTTAATAACTGACAAATATGGCTTAGAAATCGGTTTACTCATTTGACTAACCTTGTATATTAGTTTGGTCGTGCGTATGGCCTCACAAGATATTACCCCAGCCCACGCTGTACAGTGGTTTCAAAATTTCACATACTACGAAACTTAACACAAAGATATTCCTGATGTACCGTTACCGAGGGCGTGATAAAGAATACACTTGTAGTTTTTACTTTCTCTCTACGGAATAGAGAGGACAACTCTGTCATCCAATCGCGAGCTTCGTTACGACTTAAATTTTTGGTTGAAATTCTCGGTTGGACGACAGTCTCTCTTGTCAGCTTAAAAGGACCGTTTTGATCGGCATGTAATGGGTGAGATGTTTAATTGCCGCGACGGCCAATTGTTATCGAGTAAGAATAACTGTTAATACATTTTAGCACGTAACTGTTAATACATTTTCCGCAGTCATTTCGGGAGTGGAGACTGGGGACAGTGGAAAGGGAAGGTAGCAATCACAGAGAATGTTCCAATTAAAAAACATTTGCCTTATTCATTAGGTGTTCACAGTTTGCACGGATGGGAATGAACATTAAAGAACATTCCGAAAAAAAAGTTCCACGAAAAAGGTCAGATAACTAAGTGATTTCATATGTTCGTTTCAATCCGTCTTGAAAACAAGAATGAAGAATTTCTGCTCATCAGTAAAACCCCTACACTTCGCACAAACTGCATAGTACTTTGCCACTGAAGTGTTTTGAACTTTCTCGAAAATAATATTCTATATTATCAAAATCTACATGTACGAACCGTAAATTTCTTATGCGACTCACCGGGGAAACATGAACGTCCTTCCTCTACTAAATCAGTAACGTCCTCTTCACATTCAGCAAATATGTCCTGCAACAGAAGGTACCGATTTGCTAATCATTCCAAAATGTAGTGAAGGTTTCAGCGACTACCGAAATTATACTTTCATGACCACGTGCAAATGTGTTGCCAATAAAATGATTGAACAGACCTGGGTTAGCAAAAGTTTCTAGTTTATGCTATCTATCAGCACATGTCACAAAGAGTAAGGGGCTTCGCAGACCATAATGATTACACCAGGGAGATTACAAACTGGCATGGAGGGGTATCCCATTACACTGCCTAATTTAACACAACAAATGAGCAAATAGCAATCCATTAACTGTTGCGTACTCGGTTCAGGAGAGACGACGATTATTTTGACAGGTTGTAAAACAGTTTACCATCGCCAAAACCCAAATAGCTCCACAGCCAGCTGATAATACCTCGGAAGAGTGAGGTCAGTCAGTGCACTTGGGGGTTAGGGAGAGTTTTCGCTAGTGATTTACGGTAGTATGTTCTCGAATCTTTCCTAAAGAGCATATTGAAATAATTTATTTAAATCTTGTCGAAAAACATGTGAAGAAATTAAAACGAATACTTTGAAACAGCCCTCCAAAGATACGACACGCACATTGAAGGAAAACTGGCAGCTCACATTCACCGAATATTGAAGGACGCATCACGCTTTTAAGAAAACTCGCAAATTACGTTCTTTCAATCCAAAATAATTCATGTAAATTGCGCCTTTTAAATGTAAGTTTTGACGGAACGTTTCTTGAATTCTTGTAACTTGCGTAACTTTTTTCACACAAACATTCTCTAGTTAATGGAATGACAAATATAATAGGGAATACCACAGCCCCAACACAAGTTAATTAATTCGAGAAATGTATGCGAACTACTTATACTTGTTACTCACTGACCATGCCCCCTGATTTAGTTTGGCGTCATTTAGTCAAAAATAATCATTCATGTGATTAAACATATAAGAAATAGAAGCAGTTGCAGAAATTATGGAAACGGCAGTGGCCAAACGCACAATTGACAATAGTAGAAATGTGTCTAATATTTCATACACTGCCATTACGTTTGACACAACGAAAGCCATGTTTTGTTTAGGACGTTTCTTTGTAACAGTAAACATAGAGGCCAATATTGTAACATGTGAAATGACATTGTGGCAATGGCGCAATTTAAGCGGTTTACAGTTTGATGGAAGGGAAAGACGCATTACGCATTTCGTACTTGGCAGCTAACTGTTGAACGATTTTTAAGTTCTGAACACGAATTGCTTTACTTTTAGAAAATAATGTTATTTATCTCACCTCCCTGTTCTCAGCATCTTCTTGTGGTTCTTCCTCCACTTGGAGAAACAACTCAGGCTCCAACCATTTCTGCACAGTATCACAATTCTCACAAATTCAACTAGGGTTGCAACAATAGTATACATAGAGGCTACGTGACATTAAAAAAATCGCTTTCCGGGTATTAAAGACCCCCAAATTCTAAAATATGACAATTTATTTTTTTGGATTTATTTATTTTTATTATTTTGTTTTAAAAATGTTGTTTCAAACTTAACAGACAGCTAAATTGTGGGCACACCTTCCTAGACTGTGAAAGCAAGCCAACGTGAACGGTCAATAGAACAAAGCGTTTTATTCTATTCTACTTGCTGGAGAGTTATATCGGGGGAATGTTAGAGAGCGACTTCTTTGATCGGTAGTTTTCCGTGGTTTCTCCGATCAACACCAGGCGAATGACGGAGTATAACCTTAACAAAAGGGACACGGACCGCGCGCGATCTTCCTTCCTAAACTCTGTCCAATCCTTTCCCCTTATACAGACATGCGTGCGAGCGTGTGTGAGTATAACTTTACACTACCACACGTGTCGAGGAGTTTATAGCTTATAGGAAATACTTTACAGGAATTTTACTTCCTGATGAATAAAAACGCGCATTTTTAACACTTACTATCAGAGGGGGCGTACATTGGCTAGTAACTCTAAACGAAATGGATACGTATGAAAGAATAGCAAATCAGCGAAGCAACATCAACCCTTCTGATATATTTCTCCCTCGTATGTCACAAATAGTTTCTTACTGTTTTTGTCTAAATAAAACAAAGTCAAAATCATCCATTTTTGATTGTTACTTCAATACAATTAAAACGGTTTCAACAAACACATTATCTATAGAAAAGGGACATAATCGTCTAAGACTACCTTCTCGAAGGTTTTGAAGATTCATGAAAAGTGTAGATTTCTGTTACTTTCCTCACCTTCGGGCTTTCTTCCATCTCTTCTGGTGGCTCCTCTTTTACTTGAAACGACATAGTGAGACGTTCCGGTTCCTCCTTGACAAAAACCACAAAATTCTCACAAATGCAATCAGTAATTTATTCTAGCAGTAAGCTCACAAGCACTTGTAACATGGAAATACTTAGAAGAAGATTCAGAAACAAAATTGTATCTGAATTGTATTCTGGCTCAATGATTTAATTTTCCTCGTAATACATTCTCTGAGTACATGCGGAACGGTGCTCTAACTTTTTTAAATTTTCGACATTCCATCACATTGTCAATATCTTTAAGAAACGAAGAAAAGAGGTCAAAGACTTTTGATTTTGGCTTAGAAAGGAAGAGGACGGAGAATTTCATGCCTTGTTGCCACAAAGGGCAATGAAATTTTGAATCTGATCTCGACATAAGAGAATCTGACACTTGACAAACCTCAGGAAGCTATCTTACCTGAAGAACGACTTTCTATTGCACTAATGTGTGTGTATGTGTGTATAATCGATAGAATTATAATTTTATAGTAACATATTACGACAATGTAATTGTACAAGACAAATGATAAACATAACAATTTTAAAAAGTTATGTTTTGTAATTTTCCCTACATATACATTTTCGGAGGGAGATGAATGAGGAAGCCCTCCCCCCCTCCACACACACACACACGCGCGCGCACGCGCCAGGGGGTCAACCACCACCCACTCGGACTTTACACTAATCGCCGACTCAGAGAACAGACAAATACAAACAGATCTGTCTTGTACAAAAAGTCACGCTTCACTTTTATATAGTGGATTATGCAAGTGGCGTTTTTATAAAATAGATATATAGAATAATCAAGAATGGAGAATTGTTAAAAATATGTAGTGTGGAAGATTTGATTTTAAAAAGAATCATTTCGAAAAAAGACAAATCTGATATCTATTCTAAAATCAATACTACCGAAATGCAACACCCAAGCACACACACACACACGCAGGGATTAGAAGATTTAGGGCATGAATAATACTTTTTTTCCACTAATCAAAAACAAGGGAGTGACTTCATCAGTGTTTATCGTAGGTGTGCGCAATTTAAAGCAAGAGGAGAGACCAAGTACATTTCTGAATCTCCTTTTTTAATTAACGTTTTTAGTTATGTACGACGTATTTTACTAGCAAATTAATAAAACACACTACAAGAATAATTTATTGTTTTAATGTAAGGTCAATCATGTACGTGGTTGTCACATAGCTCGGAAAGCCTCCTCTCTAAAAGTAGTAACAATTATCCAAATTAACAGGTTAAAAACGGAGAAATCAAAGATAACAGAAATAAAATGTTTTATTACATAAGGTTACGAGATCCTTTACAAAATTTTCATGAGGTCACGAGCCTTCTTGTGCCCACAACTATGACATTAATTTTTTTATTTCAGACAAAAGGTTAAGAAATTCTTACCTCTTTGGTAATTTCATTTTGCACAGAAGCTTGCACTGAGCTTTGCATGTCCAGATGCTAAAATCCACACAAGACAAAAAACTTTTAAGACAATTATCATTCCAGGGAAAGCAAACTTCAACTAAGACAATATAGTTAAAGAATACTGAATCATAAATACTTCATAATTGAGAATAATATTTACCTAAAAGACTACTATTTAAATATAATATGATTAAAATAAGTTTATGAAAAAAGTTATATAAAAATCAGAAAGTTGCTTAGTAATCCCTCTTCGAAGTGATTAAAATCAATGTAGTGTTTCAAATGGTGAAATGTTGTAATACAAGATGAAAAGAACCATCCTTGCTTTGCACTCTGTGTCAATTTTCTTTGTGAATGAACTCTTTTAATAAAGGGTAACATTGTCATATGGTGTACTACCAAGAACTCCACAATCATAACTTTTTTTAACATCTACTGTAAATGGTAGGAAGTGGTAGGAATGGTGTCATGCTTATGACATGAGCATCATTATAAAAGTAATTACAAGGTATTTCTTTGTCATACACATTTATTTCAGCATAAAGCTGGCAGCATTTGGCTGCATTGTGGCCATGTTTAGTGCTACAAAATACAGAAAATATTTAAATTACAATTTGTTTAATAGAAAATGTAATTTATGATTTTTTTGTTTACAAATATAGTTAGTGAACAATTGAAAAAAGGAAGATTTTGTAATTTATTTCAGTAATTTCTTCCTTCTTTCGTTCAATAGTTCACACAAATATTCGTAATTTATATTGTCTAATATAAATAATTCAGATATTATACGGATGCTTACTGCTAGAATTCTGTTCTGGAATTAATACACAAAATAATTCAGATATTTTCTTGTTTTATAGCAATGAAAATGGCTGCAATGCAGTTGGAAAAGCATTATGCTGAAATAAATATATAAGGCAAAACAATGCCTCTTAATTACTTTTATAAATACACTACAGATTATTTGACAAATATAAAGAAAATATGTAGTCTTGTCAAGCCAACCTTGTAAATATTGCATCTCCTCTTTCATTACCTTTAAAATGCCTCAAATTGGAAGTACAACTGGAACTGAATTTATACAGAATATTCTCTTGATCAAAATAATACAGGTAATGAAAATGAAATTGAAGACATTTCTAGAGGTAATGATATAATACATAAAGCTCTTCTATGTTTACAAAAAAACTCCAAACAAGAAACAAAAGTGTAATATTGCAAGTAAAATGTAAAGCAGATGATATGCTACAATAAAACACATTTAATTACAGTATATACTAAATTAAATAATTATGGCTTCAAATTCCTAAAGGATACAAAAAAAAATTGATGCATTGTACAGTAATTGTATGCATGGTTGCAAACGATCTTGCAAATCATAAGACCAAAAATATAATGCTTATTAAAAAAATAATAATTGTACTTAAATTTCTGCAAGAATCAACAAACACATTTTAAAAACTTCACCTTTTGAACTTGTTATAGCACAACACTTTGAGTGCAAACTGCCACCAATTTTCAGACAAATATTATTTATTATAAAACTTACTTTGAATCTTGTTTGAAAGGCAAAACTAACTATTCAAAAATACAATAAATTTTGCAAAATGGAAAAAAAAGTGCTTTAGCTCAGAACGATGTTTAGTCTTAAAAACTATTTTCTAAATGTAAGATACATGTATCTGATAAATGAAAATATTAAAAGGATATTTTAAAAATTCTAATTATCATTGAAAAATTACTTTGAATTTCCAAATATTCCAATACAAAAATTAAACAAGGCCTTCAAATGTACCAATAAATATAATGTATTTGTTAGCTATCTCTAGAACACCAAAACCATTCAGAGAAAAGAAATTATGTTCCTGAACATATAAAAAAATACCTTTTCATCTTGATATTTGGTAATTCTAAAGTAATCACACACTAAATGAACACAAATTCTTAAACATACAAAACAACAAAACAAATTCTATCATACTGCATCATGTTACAGCTATGTAATCTTATACTAAAGAAATTTTTGTGCACTGTATACAATATGTTCTGATGAGAAATAATGTAGACTCCTCTGAAAACACAAGGCTTGAATAAATCTTAGAGAGGCTTTGTACACATGTGAGTGCTAAATGGAATTATAAAAAGATCACCTTTATTCCTTGTGTTATGATTTTATATACATTCAAGTTTCATAAATGTACTTATGTGGTAGTGGTACTTCATTCAAAGTTTTTAAAAATTGCCTGCAGTTTGTTTTTCTACCAACTATTCCTAATTGCTCTTATGTGACATTTCAAAATTAAAATAAAAATCCCCATAACATTATTCCATACAATAAGGCAGAACGAAACAAAACATATTAGCTGGATCAATTTGCATTATGTTTTTTATGAGCAAGAAATCAAAACTACTTCGCTGAGCATTTTTGCCATTTCTTGAATATCTAGTTTCTATCTTAACTTGTTTCCTCCAAAAAACGGTTTAGTTCATGTAGGAGATAGCCTATGTTTATTTTAAATCATTACTTGATGAACACTGAAAATTTTGGGACTGATGAAAAGAAATTGCTAATATTTTCTCTTTTATATTTCAAATGTATCATACTCAGAAAATAATTTAAAATATTATGATAACCTAGGAAAGATAGTAGGTATTTGTTAGACACTAGTAAATGTGATTAGACTATTACTCTAAAAATGTGATTGGACTGTTACTCTTGTAGTGTAATGGAAAACACTCTTTCCTCTAGCAACATCTAAGCTGACACACTAAAGCATAACACTATACTAATTGTAAGTTTTTAGGGCCTATGGAGACAATAAAATAGAAAATTAAAAAAAAAAGAAAACTCACAGAATCAATTCTGAAACACTCATCCTCATAACTTGCTTCCACTTTAACCTAAAAACGGTGCAAAACAAGGAAAATTAAACAAAACTATTACTATTAAACAAAAGAATTCATTAAGATTAAGTTATGCAACATGAAAACTATGGCAGAGAATAATTATTGTCTCATCATTATAAAACACGTTATTCTCAGAGAAAATCTATTTTTTTCATTAAATGTGACCAACACCGCCTGGAATATAGGAGGTAGTGATACAACAGGGCTTTTCTTAACAAAATGGAAAGTTTTTGGCATATTATATCACGAAAATAATATATTACCTCTCCAACATCAATTACACTTTCACTCAATAATTCAATACTGTCCATTGTTAAGGATTTTATGTTCCCAAATTACAGAAGACTATAATTCGTATTTCTTCGTCTCTGATAAGTTTACTTTGCAAACATTTGTAATAACTCAAAGGGATATGAGCCTGACCAATAATATTTTTACTATACGAGAAGTATTGGTTTCCATAGTTACTGGAATTATGGTTGTCAGCAAAACCTCATGCGATGCTCAAAAGTCATTTAACATTACAGACACAACATTCTATTTGAATGTAGTTAGTCTTTGGTCAGGGAATTAGTAGGTATACATGTAAAAAAGTAAACATGAGAACTTAAACAGTCGGAAAAATGAATTTATTTTCATTTAATGAAACCTAAAAAATCACTCTTATTTCTATAAATACTTATTTCTAATAAAATATGTGAATTCTGCTAGAGAAAATCAGCAGTTAGTTCATTGCAGATGTAGTTCTTTCCTAACACGTGGAAAAGGCATCAAGCAACCAAGCCTCCATATTGGATTTCCGACCAATCAGGGAGCGGTTTTCACCGCTAGACTGTGACGTCATCCAACCAAAACGTTTTGCTTATATAGCCGGCCACGCGACTTCGCCGCCATTAGTGCAGTTATAGCCGTTGTTGCGCATTCAGCTCTTATAGTGAAGTGGTTTGAGTAGTCGGAGAAAGGCATGGAGAACTTATTCTCTTTCGTATTCATTACGGACTTCCCCACGTCTGGGTTACGGGAAGAAGCATCAAGAGTGGATATAGTGGGCCGTTTGCCTCCAGAGATTGCGTCCCAGATCTTAAGGTAAGTTTTTATTCTCATTTTTTCTCTTAGTTCATTCTCATTTCTCTTTGGCATCATTCACTGCAATACGTAACCTTTTCAACTTCACATTGAGACCAAATTGGCAGCAAGCGCGTTCATATAATAGGATATATCAACTTGAGAAGAAGAAAAACACATTGAGAACTTAACACAATTCGAGAGAGTTCAATTTGGGAACAAACTCATTCATATTAAAACTAAATACATTCAAAATGGGGCCGAACACCAACTCGCACTATTGCCCATTGCATTAAAATTAATAACACAAAAGTAGAAATGTAAATTACAATAATATTTTTGTCAATCATATTCCTTCAGCAAGTAGTCCGTAAATAATTTCATGGTAACTTTAGGGAGTGTTCTGTACACGCGTGTATTATTGTATTATATATTTTGAACTCTAGTAACAACACTAAAGCAATGTGGAGTAACGTAAAAAATACGACCACATCATCTCGATACTTAGTAGAGAAAGTTGTTTTAAAGGATAATGGAAGAGAAGCAAGTAATTTGGAAAAAGCTAATCTCTTCAACCAACACTTTTCTGAACCTTTCTTTTCTTTGCGGCTGAACTCACGAAAGGACTAAAACCGTAAAATTCAACATCACTTCCTTCCCAAAAAATTATCAACACGATGTTTATTTCCAAAACTTCTAACGAAATCATGAAAAGTCACTAGAACTCGTGAAAATCATCGTAATTTTATAAGCCGTCATAACATTTTCAATTAATTTTTTACTTTCCCGTATACGTATGTGTATACTGAGTAGTATACGTAGTAGTACATGGAAAGTTATGTAATACTGTGGAAAATCGATGTCGAGATTTCAACAGAAATGCACATTTTGGGGTCCCCTGATTCCTAAAAAGTTTATTTTTTAAAACGTCCGTCTGGTGTCTGTGAACACTACTAGCACCTAAACCATACATTTTTTTTTGGATTTTTTTTCAAATTGAAGAAACCCCTGTCCATATGGCTCAAGTCGAATCTTGAAGATTTTGAAAAAAAATCTTCAAAATTTGTGAGTACTTTACATAAAGCCGCCCGGACATTTTCACAATTTTCTCAAAAACGGCCATATGCTAGTACCTATAAAAGTGGCATAGGTCCCATTTTCACTGTTAACTTTGAATTTTGAAAAATTTCAAAAATTTTCAGGCATCTTCGTAAAGCTATAAAATTGAAGATTTTTCCTTCAAATAAAATTGTTCTCCATAGTGAGTTTTTCACTAAGTTTATGGCCATTTTAGAAAATTTTGTAGTTTTCGACCAATATTGCGTGCAATATTTGCGGTTTTTAAAACAATTACAATTCAAGGTTTTCTCAGAAATGCCTCGAAATTTTTTCTTTAAATTTCATGAAAGAATGGAGTGAAATCCATTTATAAAAATGGCATAAGTCTGATTTTCACTGATAACTCTGAATTTGGAAAATTTTTCGGCGGCTTCCTCCAACTGCAAATCTGAAAATAAAGATTTTTGCTCAGCTTTTGCTTCAAAAAGGCTCCCAATTTTGTCTAAGCTTTCGGTATGGATAATGCTAAATGTAATCTACGAGATGACATAAACACAATTTTGTTCCATTCTTTTACAAAAATGTAATTTTTGACTAGTCTTTCAGATCGTTAATTTTTTTTAAATTAGCGGCAAATTGTTCCAATTGTTGCAATTACGTGTACATGTGCTTTAAATTATGTCTTATGAAATTTTTCGAAAACTCTAAACAAATTTTCCTGTGAAAACGAGCTCAAAATTTCGAATTTTAAGAAACGCCTAAACTACTAAACATTTTTTCTTCAAACTTTTCGGACGTATAATGCTAATTGTACTGTTTAAGATGACATTAATTTCATTTTGCTGTGTTATTGTTTTTTATTACACAATTTTTTTAAGATCTCTCCCGCCGTTAATATGCACATTTCCAGCGATTTGTATACATTATTAAATTTGTGAGTGAACAAATGATGGTTTTCGAAAACTCGAAAGATTCCTGACGAAAGAAGCTTCAAATTTCTGAATTACAGTAATGCTTAATTGCCATTTTCTTAAAAACGACTCCATATTTATCAATGAAATTTGCCATTTAAGACAATGTTTTACTCTTTCTTCATTATTATAAAAATTTGTTTGGATCTACCATTAGGAAACCGCGAAATTGATAGGAAAAAAAGTATTGATAGATAGGAAGAGGATAGGGCTACACCGAAAAGCTAGCCCATACCAAGGAAAATTAGAAAACTTCACTGCGAGAAAGTCTGTGCCATTCTGTAACACTAGTTTATATTTGTTGGAATAAAATAACTCTGTTTTTGATTCAACACATTTTTAATTTTTTCGTGGGGATGGGGGCTACGTTTGAGCAATTGTCCTGGACCCAAAATTCTCTAGCTCCAACTTTGTTAGTAGCTGAAGTACGTATATATACGTAGGTTTTATTATAATTTCAATGTGTTTTTTCAGGTTCTACAAACAACTTTTCCATTTCCTTCTTGGATAACACGAGGGACTGCAACGAAAACCTCACAAATTCTTTATTTCATGTGTAATCATAGTGTATCATTATTTCCAGTTCTAAAAATACAAAGTTTTGTAAAGAAACATCATAGGCCAAGTTAAATAAGGAAACACGATCGGGATATTTTGAATTCAAATAACGGCAAAAGCTATGTCGAATACCGCAGAAAATTCAACAACACCGACTGGGGAAACTTGTAGAGAACGTTTTAAAATATCACAGAGAAATGACTATTCGGCCATAGGAAGTACTGTCTTCAATCAAGATCTTTCGAGAATTGCGGTTCATCATAGAAAGGGTCTAAAGTCGCAATATTCAACATAAGACTTTCGTGTTTGTTTCCGTATCTTCTTCCTAAAATTTTTTCCACATAACCGGTAAAATAAAAAAAAAATAGGTACAGTAAATCTTGCTCAATGCGGAAATGTTTAATATTAACATGGATCGTAGTCCTACCAAACAGACGATGTGCTGTATTACATTGTGTAATGCGGAATTTTGTCTAATACGAAAAAAAAAAAAAAAAAAAAAA